TTCCGTTTGCATTATCAATTTTCCATCATCTGTTAATTGTAGAATATTTTCATCATTCGTCGAAATAAAATATGAAAATAATTTCATATTTGGCCATTCATTTCCTGTATATATTATGATATTGGAAATTATAATCAATTGATAGCAATGATAATAATATATTATTATGTTACGTAAATATCCTAATTGAATAAATTTAATAACTGAGTAACTAATTATCATTTAAATATTATCAAAATTTTATCAACAATTAACTATGAATAATTTTATAACTTTTAACATTTCCATGATTGCTACTACTATTTGCATTGATAAAATATTTCCGTTTTGAAAAAAATTTTCATTTTTGATAATCGGAATTAAATTTAAATAATTAATTATCATTTAATTGTTTTATCAAAATGTTATTATTGTAAAATTATTGTATGGCTTAATCATTTATCAATAAATTATTTGTTAATTTTTTTTCCCCCTCAAAAATCTCATTTTTTCACTTATTTTATGATTGTATTAATTAATAACTTACTATTTTCAAAGAAATTAAACAGAACATTTCCATGATTGCTACTACTATTTACATTGATAAAATATTTCCGTTTTGAAAAAAATTTCCATTTTTGATAATCGGAATTAAATTTAACAGTGATATTCATTTCCGTATATTTTGATGGTATACCATTATCATTTGCACGAATACATATATTTTGTTCATTGTTGAAACGATGTTTAAGAATTAATGCACCTGTAGTAGTAGTAGTAGTAGTAGTGAAATATTAATAAATGATTAGAAAAAGATTTTATCAAATATTTTTGATTAATTCTTATCGTTAACTTTTATCATCAATTTAAATCGTTGTTTTAATTTTATCAGTTTTATTACTTTATCAAATATTTTTGATTAATTCTTATCATTAGCTCATATTAATTTAAATAGTTTTTATCAAATAGTTCCTTAATTCTTATCATTAGCTTTCAACAATTTGAATTGTTTAATACTAATTAAATATTTATCCAACATAGATTTTATTTAAAAATCAAATTTGAAAATCGATTAATGATATGATTAGATAGTTTATGGATTAAGTGATATTTCATTTATCAATTTCTATTGAAAAATGTCAATTTCATTAACATTTTTTTCTTTTATTTGTTTTTCGTAATGCTTTTTTTTTAAATATAAAATCATTTATTTATGAATGAAAAATTAAATGTGAAATACCAGTATTTGGATCGATAATGAATGTGTCATTTGTTTTATCATTGATAAGCGTATAAGTAATTTTAGCATTATCACCAGCATCATCATCTATAGCAATAACATGATGAATGATATCACCTTCAACAAAATTATCATCTATCGTTATCGTTGATGAACTGAAACAATTAAAGAATTTCCAATATATAGCTGTAAATTTCATCAAATTAATAAAATCATTATTTAAATTTAAATGGAATTGAAATATGAAAATGGTAAAAGTGACCTGAAATCATTTCATATAAAACGAATACAAAGGCTATTCATAATAATGCTATGATAATGATAATCCTACGGTATTGATTTGATGATGATAGTGCTATGATAATGATTAAATGTAGGACATCAATTAATGATCATATCATCTACATTATCCTTGATAAGCGCATAAGTAATTTTAGCACTACCATTAGTGTTAGTGTTATGATAATGATAATGTTATGATAATGATAATGCTATATGGTTTTGCATAAATTTTATAAAAAATGATAGTGTTATGATATGATAATAATGCTATGATAATGATAATACTATATAGTTTTATCTAAATTTTATAAAAATAACAATTTAAATCAAGTACTTATTAATAATGAGAATGAGTGAAACCTTAAAAATTGTGGTTGATGATCATTGATATCTTCAACATTGATAAAAACAGCACAATGTGAATGTTTTATCACATTTCGATAATTATCTTCCACTTCTACAACCACAAACAATGATAAATCCTAGAATTAGAAATTAATTAATTAAATTTAAGTTAAATATATTCTAATTTTCTCTAATACTTTTCATTTCTATTATCTTTCTTTCATCCCCATATACTGTTTAATTTTTTTCTATGTCAAGTATTATTCATCTGAAAATATTTGACCTCTCATTCATGTATTATTCATCTAAAAATAGCTATCCATTGACCTTTGACCTTTTTTGAATATCTTTAAGCACTTATTTTTCTGATTACAAAAAAAAAATTATTTATTTTAATTAATTTCAATTTTTCTTTTTGAAATATTAGCAAAAATATATGGAAAGAGATGGAAATAATAAATATTTCAATGATTTCAATTGATTTTAACCTTTTCCCAATGTAACGAACGTATTAGTATTAATTCAGCAGTGTCCGGATCAATTGAAAATAAACTTGTTGAACCTTGAACTAACGAATAGGTTAATTGTCCATCACTATTATCATCCATATCTTCAGCAGATATTTTCCCAATTATTGAACCTAAAAATTTTCCGAGTATTATTTTAAATACATATATGTATATCTTATTGGACAAGGATGTCACATAAAAAAAAAACCTAAACTAATTTTGTGGTCACATTTTCATATTTTTTCCATTGGTAATTTTAATGTTTGTTAAAAAAAATGGAATGAATTATTATTACCTGTTGGCTCATTTTCTTTAATTGTAAAAAATCGTGGACAATTAAAAAATTGTGGCCAATAGATATTTGTTGGCTCAATTTCGATATAAATATTTTGTTGTTCAATTTGATAATAATTTGATAAATTCCATTTTATAATTTTGAGTAGAAAATTTTTATTAAAAATCCAACGGATATTTGTTGCAAGATATAAATTAGAAGTGATACTATCCAGGTAGAATGCATCTGTCTAAAAAAAAAAAAAAAATAATTAAATAATATTGAATTTTCATTTTCTTTTGGATTTTATTAAAAGTAAAATTGAATAATTCTAATTAAAATTAATAAATATTAGGTTTCATTCTTTTTTTTTCATTTCAAAAATCATTCTTTTTTATCTTTTGTTCTTGGAAAAATTACAACTTTGTATTTGTTATGATTCAAAATTTTGGTAATTAATATTTCAATTAACATTTACCTCATTTTCTAAATGCCAAAATGTCTCATTATTTTGTTCATTGCTTAATGTCACCAATTTTGAACCAACTGGAGTAGTCTTTGATATTCTGAAGTTAAATCAGTTACCGTTAAATATAAAAATACGATTAAATTATGTCGAAATATTTGTTAATGAATGGGTCTCTTGAATAATAACAAAATTTGATATAATTAATTAATCTGGTAAACTGTTATTTAATCTGTAAACAATTTAATATAATTAATTAATCTGATAAACTGTTATTAAATCTGTAAACAATTTGTTATTTAATCTATAAACAATTTGGCATAATTAATTAATTTGGCAAAGTGATATTTAATCTGCAAATAGTCTGTTACCAAATCTGTAAATAATTTGATATAATTAATTGATTTGATAAAGTGTTATCTAATCTGTAAATAATGTGATATAATTAATTGATTTGACAAAGTGTTAATTTGTGAACATTTTGATATAATTAATTAATCCGATAAACTGTTATTCAATCTGTAAACAATTTGACACAATCAATTAAGTTGATAAAGTGTTATTTAATCAGTAAACAATTTGTTATTTAATCTGTGAACATATAATCACTAACCTTATCACAGTTGTCTTATCAATTGGATGTGTAATTTCTAAAGTTGATTTACGAATGATAAATGTAATTTGTTTTTGTCGTTCATCATTATCAAATGCTATTATGGATAATGTTCCATTATCATTTATTGTAGCTGCATTGAAATATTTGGAAGTACGAATTGTATTATTCCAAATTTCAAAATTACTTGAAATATCTAGAAACAAAATTAATTAATCTATTCATAATTATTTAATTTCATTTAAAAATAATTTTTTACCAGATAACCGGAAAAAAAAGATTCAAAAAAAAAAACCCAACTGAAAAAATGATTTTTTTTCCGAATAATTCAAAAAAAAGTCGAAAAAAAAACTTGACTGAATAAATGTTAAATGCTATTTTAATATTTAAATTCAATATTACAATTTATAATTGCTTATTTCAATTTCTCATAAAGTAATTTTTTCCGAAAAATATCAACTAAGTAAGTATTAAAATTGTCACTTTAATAATTTAAACTTAATTTTATTAAAATTCATACCACTCATTTCAATTTCCCATCTAGCAATATCCGTTCCATTAAGCATTTTCAACATGCAACCGGATGCGCATTTTTCATCGATCCTATAAATAAATTCATGAAATTCATAAAAAGCAATTAAAATTATGAGTATAAATATCAAAAAATATTATCGCATCCGGATAGAATTTCCTTTTTGATAAATCTAAACAATTTTACTTTCATAATATCCGGATAATTCATGAATAGTTTTTCCGGATAATCTGTAATCCTTAAAAAAAAATTATGATAATTTCAATAAAATTCATTTAACAGCCATTGATTTAGCAGTTATCATAAAATTTACTGATAATTTATCATGCAATCATGCAACACTATACAATATTTTGACCTGATGATTGTAGAGGAAAAAAAAGATAACGAATAAAATTTCAGGAATTTAATTAATATCTTTCCGGATTTATTACTGAAAGAAAAATGAATTAGCAACTTTCCGGATTTATTACTGAAAGAAAAATGCATATATTTTTAAATTAAAATTTGTGAAATATTTAAATTACTTAATGATGCGATCAATTGGTTCCAAAAATTTGACTTTAGAATGTATTTTTTCAATACTAATACGAATTGGACAAATTGTTGAACGAGCTTGCATATCACCATTTCGATCAAGAACAATTACTGATAAACGACTTTCTTTCCGATAATCTTTTCCGGTAAATTTCCGTTTCACAAATAATTCACCTAAAAGTAAGAAATAAATTTAATTTCATAAATAGCTATGATTGTATTATTTTATTGTGTAATAAACAACAACAACAAAAAAAAAAAAGAAAAGATGTCGAAATTCAATTAAATAGTGTAAAATTAAAATATTGCAAAATTTCTCCCATCCATTTAAATTTAGTTTATAAAGTAAAACTTAAATTAATTACAAATCATTTGGCAAAAGTTAAGATATCAGATAAAGGTAGTCAGGTAAATTCGGAATTAAATGCAACACATTTACTAAAGGTCAAAGTATCAATTAAAGATAATCAGGTAAATTCGGGATCAAATGCAACACATTTCACTAAAGGTCAAAGTATTAATTAAAGATAATCAGGTAAATTCGGGATCAAATGCAACACATTTACTAAAAGTTAAAATGTCAATTAAAGGTGATCAGGTAAATTCGGAATTAAATGCAACGCATTTAGTAAAAGTTAAGGTATTAATTAAAGGTAATCAGCTAAATTCCGAATTAAATGCAACTCATTTATTAAATGTCGAGATATTAATTAAGATTATCAGCTACCTTTTCCTGTTATCCTATTTCCAATTTATCATAAATGTTATCATTTTTTTTTTTTTTTTGCAAAAAATTATCAGATAATTAAATTATATATATACCATTATTCTGAATAGCAAAATTGACATCTTCAACTTGTAAACGATATAATAAACTTCCGTTTAAACCTTCATCCGGATCTGTTGCAATCAGTTTTTCAAATGTCACACCAGTATTAATGTCATCAGTTATCGTAAAGGAATTTCTCATTGGACATTTTGGTGAATTATCGTTTATATCCAGAATTTTGATATGAACAATGGCTTGAGATGATAATTCTGGCTAAAAATATTCTATCATTTTATATTTTCCGGTTATCAGCGAATTATTTTTTTCCGGTTAGCATTGAATTATATTTTCCATTTAGCACTAATCCATTTTTAATTTTATAAAATATTTACTGAAATATTCTATCGTTTTATATTTTCCGGTTAGCACTAATCCATTTCAATTTATGATAATTCTCATTAAATATTTTAGAATTATCCTATAGTTTTATATTTTCCGTTTATTATCGAATTATATTTTCCGGTTAGCACTAATCCATTTTCAATTTATGATAATTCTCATTAAATATTTTTAGAATTATCCTATAGTTTTATATTTTCCGTTTATTATCGAATTACATTTTCCGGTTAGCATTAATCCATTTTTATTTCATACTGGTTTTTATGATCCTTATAGTGGTTTTTGGCTAGAATATGTTTTTAATTTTTGAACTTTTAATTTTTTAAATATTCATGGTATTTTGAACAAACAATAATTCTTTTTCAACATTAAAACTATCTTTTTAACCTAGATTGATATCCGGAATGACATTGCTCATTTTCCGGTTTCAATTAATGAAATTCCTGAAATCATTATAAGTAAACTTAAATTCTAAAATACAAAAAAAAAAAAAAAAGGTTCACTTTTCCGTTATCGTTAGCAATAACATGTAAATGATATTCGGCAATCATTTCACGATCAAGTGTTCCATTTACGAAAATATTTCCGTTTACCGGATGAATAGCGAAATCATGATTTCCCTCATTCAATCGATAACTTATCCTACCATTCTGTTCACTATCTCGATCATTCGCTTGAACAATTAATATATCGGTCATAAGCGGAATATCTTCTGGTATCTAAATTTTTCATTAATTACCTAATTAATGGTATTTTCATTTTAAAATATATGATAATTTAAATTAATGAATATTTCTAATTTCAAATAATATAATCAATAATTGATTATTTTTTTTGTATTTACAATTTTTATTTTTATTTAATTAAATTAGGTTAACTTACTTTAATGGAATATATTTGTTCATTAAATTCCGGTTTATTATCATTAATATCAAGAACATTAAGTATAATAGTGATATTGGAAGAATGTGGTGGTACTCCTTGATCATGCGCTTGTATCACCAACCAATATTTATTAATCATTTCAAAATCCAAATTTGTCAACAATACTAATTCACCAGTTAATGGTCGAATTGAAACTGGACATTCTGGTTCACTTTTTATCAATGCATATATCACTTCACCATTCTAAAATTATTCTCAAATTGTTTTTTTTACAAAATCCAGCAAAAGTTAATTTATTATGCATTCGTCTTTTTTTTTGGATGATATTTTTAAAATAAATTTTAAAATTTTTCCTGAAATTTGAAGTTTTTTGGAATTTAAAATTTTGAAACTTTCATCATACTAATATCACATCAGTATGACTCTTATCATACCGCTATCATATCAGTATATAACTCCCATCATATCAGACATATAACTCCTACCATATCAATATCATACCATTATAATTATTATCATATCACTACCATATCAGTATATAACTATCGTATTAGATATATATAACTTCTATCATATCAGTATATAACTCCTGTTATTATGTAATTACTATCATATTAGTATTATATCAAACATATAACTCTTATCATATTAATATTTTATCAGTACACCACTCCTATCATATCGATATATTACTCCTGCCATATCACTATTAACCAATATATGATTCTTATTATATCATTATCATATCAGCATATTATTCCTATCACATCACTATCATATCAGGTATATAACTCCTATCACTACCATCATACCAATACATAACTTCATTCATATCATTATCACATCAATATTGCTTAATCTCTGATCACAAGAATGATAATATTAAACCTTTCCACGATCCTTATCATATGCTTGTACAGCAAAGAATGGTTGATGTATTGGATGATTTTCATAAATATATGCTTCCATTTTATCCATTTCAAATTTTGGTGCATTATCATTGGTATCAGTTAATTTGATAAGAATTTGTGTATAATTTATTCCACCATCTTTCATTTGTGCCTAAATTATTCCTTACTAATTATAATATATAATTTGTAAATATATATGCAAATAATTTAATTTAAATTTAATTTAATGATTACCTGAACATTAATTAATAATTGTTCCCATTTATCAGCATCCAAATATTGTGCAACATTAATTTGTCCATTTTTAGCATCAATTGTAAAGAAATGATCCGAATCACCAGAATATACACTGTAGCTTATTGGAAATAATCCATTAGCTTTAACCTGATAACAAAAAAAAAAAAAAAGATTTTCAAACTTCAAAAAAAAAAGAAAGTTCAAAGTTCAACTTCAAATATTACAAAAACTTCTATTACTTTATAATTTTCAAAAAAATAAGGAAAAAAAACTGATAAGAAAAATAAATAAAACAATAAATCAATTAAAAAATAATAATAGAATTAAGTTTTGTGATATTTTTGCAGATAAAAATTATTTTTAAAAATTATGATATAGTAAAAGTTATTAATTGTTATTTTAAATAATTAAAGTATAAACAATACTAACCTTACCAATCGTAATACCTGGAAGAGTTTCTTCCAAAACATTAAATTGATATAGTATACTTGTAAATTGTGGTATTGGAATGGAATTACTGATAACATTGATATGAATAATAGCCTAAAATTTGGAATTTTCTTAAATTAACTTTAAAAATAGGCAATAATATAGCTACCTTATTAATTACTAACTAATAAATTTAAAATCAACTATTAATTGGTTATAAATAAAATTGTAAATTACTACTATTCCTTCAGGTAATATCCCAAAAATTGTAAAATATACCGGTTTCTCGCTAACCAATCCATTTCCATCTATCGCTTCCACTGTTAAATGATAATCTTCCTTTGTTAATTTATTTTGTACATATAAGCGACCGGATTTTCCATCCAATCGGAAAGAATCCGATTCTTCGGTTACAAACCGATAATGCACCTTAAAAAAAAAATAGAATCCGGAAATGGCATCATCTATGAATGAATTTGGTGATATATTGAAAAAATTAGAAAATAAAATTAAATAAAAATTAAACGAAAATGAAAATTGAACGATTAATAAATTAAACTATCTCTAAAACTCAAAAATCCGATATTTACGTGAATCACTTTTACGTAATCATCACGTAAATGTAACATTAAGCGCATTTAGTAAATCGAGTAAGCGCTCTTGGTATATTTTTATAGCTAAATCTACATAATAGAAAAAAATCTTATCAGTTCATTTAATATGATCAAAAATTGTAGACTTAAAAGATGTTATAAAAATAATTTGCATACCTCACCATACTTTCCACTATCAGCATCATTAGCTGATAATAATATCAGTAAACTATCAATTTCAATATTTTCTCGTACCGATACATTATATTGTTCTGGATAAAATACAGGTGCATTATCATTTACGTCTTCCACGTGAACATTTACCAATGCACGACTTGATTGACCATCTGAAATATAATATTGCTTCTCTTGTTGCAAATATTCTACTATTGAGATTTCTCGGAACATCTCTGAGATATCTTTGCATCATTTCTCGTTCTATTAACCATTTTTTTTTTTTGACAACAGAAATAATGTTTTGAATTTAAATAAATTTGATGAAATAAACAAATTAATTCATTAAATTAGTTAGTCCCCCTTTTTTTTTTTCGTTTTAGACAATTATAAAGTATATGGAGAAGGAGGCGCAATTGTCCTATTGATAGTAATATCAAAAAGTTACACAAAAATAACACTTATAAATATGCCTGTTTATGTATATGCGGCAAATGTTATAAAGAAAATTTGCATTTGCAATAAATGCTTGTCTGTGCATTCTGCATAATCTCATTCATAATTGATTAAATGCCATCTGCTACCATTGCTTTGAATAATAGCGCTTAATTTATGCAGTATATGCATGCATGCATGCATGTATGCATGCATGCATTATATATATATATATATATATATTGCAGTTTGCATTTAATAACAAATAGATAAAAATTTAATACCAAAATAGATAATAATTTAATAGCAAATAGATAAGTAAATAGATAATTTCTACACGTATTAACTTATTCTACATGCGCATGAATTTGCAAACGTGAGTTGCATATGATCGCGCAGATGTTTGCTTCACGTACTATTCGAATTTTATACGTGAGTTGCATGCACGTGATCACGCAGGTAGTTACTTCACGTACAATTCAATTTATTAACGTCAGTTGCACGTAACTGCGTATGCTTACCTCACATATTATTTATAAATATAACTTGAAAAAAAAGAAAAAGAAAACTAACTTATATCATGAGCATAAACATGAAGTTGATAAATGGTGCATTGTTCATAATCAAGAATAGAATTGAGACAAATTGTACCGGATTGAGTGTCAATTCGGAATGGTTCATTAACCGGATTACTTTTTAACAATTCATAATGTATGGTACTTTCATTACCACAACTGTTATTTGCTGTTACCTGAAATTATTTTATCGAAAATTTGTTGTTAAACAATATCTAATTTCAAAAAATTTCTCCTTTTATCACCATGGAAACCAATTATAACATATCGTTTATTGTCTCTCTTTTCAATTATTTACCTGTGTAGAAGTATTTGTATTGTCAAATAATCTATACAGTTCTAGCAAAAAGGTCAGGTCACTTAGGTTTACATCATAGAAAGTGATGATGACATATTTTTTTCTTCTTCTCTTCCCAATTATATCAAAAAATTTGACCTATTCGCTAGTATAGAAGTATTTGTATCAAATAGTTTCATACAGTTCCTACCGAAAGGTCAGGTCACTTAGATCAGTAGTCTATTTAACAATGCAATTAATTAATTTAGGTAATTAATTAATTTAAATTTGCAGAAAGAATTTGGAAAAGAATGTCACTGAAATGTATGCCTTTGTTATTTCTTAATATGGGCAGTGAAATGATTTACATTTTGCAACAACGTTTAAAGGTATTTTTAGCTTCTTTTCATATATTTTTTCAATGAATTTATAAAGATATCTCGGGAAAAGTAATTGCATAAAATATGTGAGGGAAAAAAAAACAAAGAATTTATGAGATATCTCGGGAAGAAAATTATGCTAAATGCGCAAAAAAAAAAAAAAGGAAAAAAGCGAAATAAAAATTGGAATTTTTTTTTTTAGCATTAAACAAAATTAATTTAAATATTTATAAAAATTTTTTAATTTGTAATCAAAAAAAAAAATTTCAAAAATTGAAAAAAATAAAAAGTTAGAAAAGTAAAATAGATGGAAAAAATTTGAATGAATATGATAAGTAATTTTTAGGCGCAAAATGTTAACAAAGAGAAAGCGGCGCAAGTGTTACAAGATATTTTGCGCATTTTATTCAGTACAAAATTTTTGAATGAATTATTCAAACCACAATATATTTGTAGCAGACAGATTATGCGAATTTTTTTTGAAAAACTTGTCCATTCTAGTATTATGCGACTTAACAAAGCAAGGTATTATAAATGGATTATTTTTTCATAATTTAACTTAATTTTATTAATTAAAATTATTTTAATCAAAAAAAATTTAATTTTATTAATTAAAATTATTTTAATCAAAAAATTTAATTTTATCATCTCGTCGAACAGTGTTATAATTTATGGCAAACAAGTTAATGTGAACAGATCGTTGCAATTTTTT